CAACATTCATTCTTTACTCTTACAGAAGTCCTTGTCAGTTTTCTGGGGCTCCTAAATTTATTAAAAGTCATTCTGCAGTTGCCTTCATTCATTCTTTTGGTACCCAAGATGTAATTCATCCAGCCCTGGAGATTTTAATTCAATTAAATTAGGATTTTTTTCTTAGCTTGTCCGTTTTGGTGCAGTTCCTCATTCCTCATAATAGCATAATGATGACCAGCTAGCTCTCCATTTCTATTCTGAGGCAAGACAGAGGTGAATAGGAGTTAAAAGTTCGGCCCTCTCTTCATCACCTTTTACTAATTCACTATGTTCTTCCTACCTTAGACCTTGGCTTTTTTTCTGTTTCTAACATACCCAAAGAATCTTTTTGTTTTGTTTTGTTTCTGAATACATTGTTTTCACAATTCTCTGCCAGTTTGTTGAATTCTGACTGTTCTGTCACAGTCTCTTCATCCTTGAAGAAATTTTTTAAAAAATAATCTGAAATTGTGAACTTTCAAAGGACTGCTGTATTTTACTAGAGATTGAGGCGGGACAGTAAAGCCTTGTCTTTGCTCTGAGAAGGGTTCGTATTTGTAATGTCCATGTTTGTTCTGTTGAGAGTTGAGACCCAGATACTTTTTTTTCTGATTTTCTTTTTAACATTCCAGCATAAGTCATTTGTGGTCATTGTTTTATCTCATTTCAGGCTCGCAAGAATGAGCTGGCCATTGAGGATATGGATGGTGGTACATTCACCATCAGCAACGGTGGAGTATTTGGATCTCTTTTTGGAACACCCATCATCAACCCACCTCAGTCTGCCATCTTGGGCATGCATGGCATCTTTGACAGGCCTGTTGCTATCGGAGGCAAGGTATGCTCTGTGGAGATGACACTCACAATTTAAGGGTTCTTTTAACATTACCTTAGTCACTGAAAACCACATTTCCATGATTAGCTCTTATGTAGTTTTAAATGCTCATCAAAATGAATATCAAGCTCCTCAGTGCTGCTCATGGAAAAGTATATCCTACTTGGTTATATTAATGTTGATGAAATTCTTTAGTTGAGAGGAAGGGAAAATTGGTTAGTTTTAATCAAACAGAATATATAGACATCATAATTGGAAACCTTGACTTTTGTGAATTATTTCAGAAAACAAAATCATATCCCGATAATTCTTTTGAGCTATAAGTTAAAAGGATTTGGGTCTACCAAAACTTCAAATTCTTTGCCAAGAGGTCCAATATATTTGTTTATATAGTTATCTACTTACCAGGCAATTCTGGTAAAGATTAAAAACCAGGGATTATTTACTTACTAAGCGTTAAAAACAAAAAAAAAGCAAAATAAAATGATAAAACAATGCCATGGGAACAGGACACAAAACTCATTGAATTACAAAGAATTAAGAATCAGGTCGTTGAGGCTTTCTTAAAGGGTTAACCAAACTTTTGGAAAGGGGGCTGATTCATAGGGCACTTGAGGTTCTTGGGGTAGAATAGAGAAAAAGTACAGGAAGTGAAACAAGTTGAAGGAGAGAGTAGCTACCTAAGATGATGTTCAGTTTAACAGTGAGACTTCTCTTAATTTAGGTTGAGGTGCGACCAATGATGTTTGTGGCACTGACGTATGATCATCGGTTGATTGATGGAAGGGAGGCAGTGACTTTCCTGCGCAAGATCAAGGCTGTGGTAGAAGATCCTCGAGTTCTGCTGCTTGACCTATAAAGGGTCACAGCACCTCCTATCTCACCCCATCCAGTAGAGCAAGGATACAGCACCAGCAGATAAAACAGAGGACATTGAGGAATCAGCAGGGCTTCATTCCAGTCTTTTCTTCCCTAGTTGCAAGAGGTGTTTTAAAAGGAAATTTGAGAGATACGCTCTCTTCAGAAGAATTCATTTTATTCCCAGAATAAATCAAAGGCTGTTCTGGTCTATTCACATATAACCTATCCTTCCTGCCTTCCCTCGTCCAATCCAATTAGGTCTCACCTTGTCTCTTTCCTGAGGTTATTGCAGGAGGAGAAACTACTTGCTTCTTAGCTAGAGTTTCCCTCCCAACCTGGTTTTGCACAAAATTTCAGGTTTAATTCATTCTCTGAGGCAAGATGCCAGGAAAGAGATAAATTGCTGCTGGGTCTCTGTTTAACATAATGACTTACATTTTGCAAAGTTAACAGGGGAGAGGAGTTATTGTCTACCATGATCCTTTACACAGTGCCTGGTCTTACCACCTCCATAATAAAAAGCAGATATTTACTGTACCTCGTCCCACCCAATTTTTATGGGGTTTTTTTTTGCTTTTACTGGCACTTACGATAGCAAGACCCTAACCCAACAAACTTTTTTATAGCCTGTATTAGCATCAGACAATTTAAGGACGACTTTCAATAATTTTTCTCTGCCCGTAGTTCTTTAAGATCGGGAAGAGCATATAACTCAGATTGGAAAAAGATAAAAAGAGTTACTTTTAAAACTTGAATAAGGCAGAATTGGTGTCCCTTCTTGCTATTGGGACCAGTTCAAGCTATGTAATCTCCACAACGATCCTAAATTCCACCCAATTCTCCTTGATTGACTTCTTCAGCTACTTGTCTATAATGGTTTGGCCTGATTGTATGGTATTGTGAGTTGGGACTCGAGTGTCTCTGGCATATATGCTGACATAAGACTGCTGGTTCGTGGGGACATATCCTTAGTACAATAGTGTGCACATGTATTGTTGAGTAAGAGGGTTGCTAGTGCCTGCAGGGTTTATTACTCTTGCCCACTGCACAGAACTTGTAATTAAAATATTTAACAACAGATTTTAAAACAAAATAAAACAAAGAAATTATGCACGAGTGTTGTTTCTTTCACTTTGATGATTAGAAAAACTTTTCCAGCCTTTCAGAGAAGGAAAATGAAATGTTCCACAGGCAGCTCTTAAGAAGTGTTGCTGCGCTTGCTCTAAAATCTAACCAGGTGAGCTAATTAAATAAGAAATCTTCAGCTGCCGAAATCTCACGAAAGTAAAATAACTGAGTATAGTTGTGTTGACTTATTGGGCTTGAGACCAGACTTGGCTTTTCTCCAAGGGATTTAAATATGGCCAGATCAGTGTTGTCATCCATCGGCTGCCAGCAGAGCTAGCAGCAGAGTCAAGACGAGGATGGGGAAGGGGAGCCTGGGTCAACTTTGGAGCCTTTGGAAGGCTCTGATGAGGAAGCAGAGGCAGATGCAGAGCCGGGGCCGTCTGTCGGCATCCAGGTGGAGAGGCAGCTGTTTTCGGGGCCTGAGATGAGTGAGGGGGACGAACAGATGGGGCCGGTCCCAGATGCACATATGCAAGGAGAGGAGAGCAATGGAAAGCAACAAGCCAGCTCTCAGGAAAAAGAAGACGTAGATGCTAGCCAGCCCCAGCGTGGCTGGGAAATAAATAGGGGTTTGGGAGTGGCCTGTTGTCACAGACAACCGTTTGTTTACCAGGGTACATCAAGTCAAATTCCTTTACCAGAACCAGGTTTGTCGGGACTACTTCTGTGAGGTGCCAACTGAGTCTCCCTGATGGGAACTAATAGGTAGTGAATTTGCCTCAGCTGGTGTGAACAGAGACTGTTTCTCCTTGGCTTAATCCTTGAAAGATTTTCTATCTGGAGGTCTCAAGTGAGCAGAGACTGTTCTTGCCCTGTGTCAGAAGGGGAAAAAGGCTTTCTTTTGTGACTACTACTTTTTGATTTTGTCTACCCAATGTGAACAAAGATTGTTCCTGCCCTGTTTTAATAAAAGAGGTTTGCTTTACTCGCAAGAAAGTGGTTTCTCATTACATGCAAATGCTGGGTCAGAACAAGTGTGTTCTATTTAACCTGAACAAATAAACTGTAATGTGTTTCACATACGTGTGCTAACCCTCAGCGACTGATCCAACAAATCTGTTAGTGTTATTTACAGATTCATATTAAAGAACTATGTGTGTGAAGAAAATGTCATGATTAGAAAAATAATGTGCCATGCTTTAGGCACCATTTAGCATGTACTATAATATAAATTCACTTAGTATTAAGTGAATCATACTGCAAAAATATTTTCCAAGATTAACCAGAACTTTTTTCCATTTTCTGTTTGAAGAAGTTTTTTTTCCCTTTTCTTCAAATGAAGTATAATTTGTCCATTCAGCATTTGTGTATGCTATGCAACTGGCATAGCATACACATATATGAAGGCATGACCACCTTCATATATGTGCCAAAGTTACCCATTCCTTGGATAAAGAGCACTACTAGACCTGTAGCATCAGTGTGGCCTTTCTGGTACAGCCCAACCTAGGCCTTCACTTGAAAACCTTATTTGTGGCAGGTGGCAACATTTCTAAAGATTCACACAAGTCTTTGTGCTCCAGTTGTTTTATTGATGTTACAATAGTTAGAGACAAGACAACGGATAATCCACAGAAGTCCAAAGAGTGGTCTTTTGCTCACTTTCTTGTTAGGTAAAAGGTTGTGTTAGATCTACAAAGAAGTCAATTATTTTGAAAGGGAAATACAAGCTGTGGCACCTAAAAGTTACTGAAAATGTCCATCTAGTGGTACATTCACAAAAATGCACCACTAACCTGCAAAAGTTGTAACATGCTTCAAATAAAAAAATGGGGTGAAAAATATGAAAATTTTATAGGGCAAATATATGCAAGAAAAAGTTAGAAAACCATCTGAAAGTTGAACTAAACATGAGAAATGGAAACAAGAAAATACAATATAAAGTTATCTCCTACTCATATTTGCTTTGGGGGGAAAAAATCTGTCAGATAGGATGAAACAATAAGACCCTACTTATTACTCTTGTGAAGGCACATCAGAGTTGGTCTTTGAAGTGCCAGAACTTGCTGCAAGGGCGGGATGCTTGACTTCAATTTCCATTTGGGTTACGTTAGACATCTTTAAGGCTCCAAATGGGTTATTGCTGCCTTATAGGAAACTTGAGGTGCCTAGAATTTTTATGAAGCTGCTGCTGGCATGCAATTAGGAAGAAGATAAGGAGCAGAAGTTTGAGCACGCAGATCCCAGCCCAATTCTGTGGATTCTTCCCTAAACGGTAGCAGTGCTGATGTCTCAGATTCATACAGCTTATACAAGTGCTTTTCAGTGGATGTGGATCATCTGGAGCACAATTCAGCAGATAAACTTCTCAATTTGGTGTTCTATCAAGCATACTTCTTTTACCATCCCTTGCACTTAGAACTTAGTTTGCAACCATCTTATTCCATTGAATCAAACTGAAAAAAATGTGTGACTTAATCTTGCTTGCACCATTTTCACCAGAGCCCAAACGTTGTTTAGGATCATACTGCAGCAGCTAAAAAAAAAAAATTGTAATTCAGATTTGTACTGCATGCAAAACTTTTATTTTTTTGCTAATCATGCACTTCCTATGCTTAAATAGCAACCTCACCTCTGAGAGAAGTGACGAAGCAGATTGGCTGAGCTTTTCTGGAAGATAGATCTGGGTGTATGGATGAATCCCTGAGGGATGATTCTGTGATAAAGACTGGGAAAAAGAAGTGAAACTGTTTAGGAATTATATCATTAGCTGCCTTTGCTTATAAGACAATATCTTTATTGTAGCACTCACTAAAGGTGACAATGTATTAAAATTAACTACCAATAAGTAGGTCTCAAGTGCAGACACTTGGTACGCTTATATTATTATACTCGTACACAGCTAGATCATGCAACATTCAGTTTATGCAAGGCTGATGCCTGTACCATCCAGTATCACCTTACAGATGAGATAGGCAGCATAAAAAATTAATAAATAAATAAAATAAAAATAAATAAAATGTGCAGTTGTACAAGATTAGTGAGTTGCTCTGGAAGGGATTTGTTCATTGTTGGATGATGTCACTGTAGATATATTTATGATAGTTTGGTGAAGGTCAAGATCATGGACCATCGTCACCATGAACTCCTCAGCCACTTATGACCCATCTTCCAGGGAAGGCAAGTTGAAATCCTCCAGAACAGCCAGCTTCAGGAACTCCACCACCAATCCAGCAATGAGGTCCAGCATCTCAGGCAGGGAGGGAGAACAGTAGAAAAAGAGCTCCCCACCTTGTCCTAGAACTGAGCTCCTATTGATGTTACATTTCTAGCTAGTGCTATTGGCAGCCATTTTTCTGGGATCTTAATACTGAATTATACATCCAGATTCAATGTCTTCAGAATACTTACCACTCCATTCAATAATTCATAAAGCAGTGCTCCAAAACTCCACCAATCACAGGCTTCTGTCAATTCAGAAATTCCACCCACTTCTGCAAAAACAACCAAGCACACAAATTTAAATTAAAACCTTGAGACATAAAAAAAACTGATATTGGCAAAACATCTAAATATTCTTGGAGTAGTCCTATATAGCGGAGCAGTCCCGAAGAGCAACAAAGATGATTAGGGGACTGGAGGCTAAAACATATAAGGAATGGTTGCTGGAATTGGGTATGTCTAGTTTAATGAAGAGAAGGACGAGGGGGGACATGATAGCAATGTTCCAATGTCTCAGGGGCTGCCACAAAGAAGAGGGAGTCAAGCTATTCTCCAAAGCACCTGAAGGCAGGACAAGAAGCAATGGATGAAAACTAATCAAGGAGAGAAGCAACCTAGAATTAAGGAGAAACTTCCTGACAGTGAGAACAATTAACCAGTGGAACAACCTGCCTCCAGAAGCGGTGAATGCTCCAACACTGGAAGTTTTTAAGAAGAAACTGGACAGCCATTTGTCCGAAATGGTGTAGGGTTTCCTGCCTGAGCAGGGGGTTGGACTCGATGACCTCCAAGGTCCCTTCCAACTATTATTATTATTATTATTATTATTATTATTATTATTATTATTATTATTATTATTACTACTATTACATTACAACTTTGTATATGAGCCTTCCCAGACATAAAAGGCAGGATTACAACAGTCCTTAGGCATACCTGGAGCACAATACAAATCATCTACTGCTTGGCTGCTGTACTGCGGCTCAACCTCACTCCACTGGCCAAAGAATGTGAGACGGAGGTGACCTATGAAGAATGTCAACAACAATAGTTAGCACTGCAAAGCCAAACACTTTTTCCTTTTCTAAATTGAATGATTCAATTTATCTCACCTATACATCTGAAGTCCCCATTTTAATATATAGTGATACATGCAGTCTATCATTGTTTCCCTTTACGTCAAAGGAAAAAAGGAATGATCTAGACCAGGGGTAGTTAACCTTGGCTCTTTTATGACTCGTGGACTTCAACTCCCAGAATTCCTGAGCCAGCTAAGCTGGCTCAGGAATTCTGGAAATTGAAGTCCACGAGTCATAAAAGAGCCAAGGTTGACTACCCCTGATCTAAACAAAGATGAGCCAAATGACTCTCAAGAGCATTATCCCCCCCAATACTTTGACCATATTATATAATAATGAAAGAATATTTATCTTCCATCATCCTATGAAGCTCAAGGACAAGTGAAAATTGACTTTTTAATAAAATCACCTATCACTGCCCTCCACGATGGACTAAAGTTTTCCTTCAGTTCTACCTTAAGAAAAACCTACCAGTATCGTCTAAAAGCAGATTTCGTGGGTTGAGATCCTGGCACAAGATTCCCTGTTGGTGGAGACCCTCCAGAGCCAAAATCAATTCAGCTGCCCAAACTTGGATCTGCTCCTCATTTATGTCCCAACTGAGAGGAGTATGGCTTTGGGCAACTGGTTCCACTAAAGATCCATGCCATCCTATTGTTGCTTGGGTTTTGAAATGTTTGTGATCAAGAACTGGTGCCCTCTGCATAAAAGTGTCGTCTTCTCCTCTTGTTTCTATCTTCTCTCCATAGTCTTCTTCAAGAGTTCCAGGATAAAACTGATTTTGCCATGGAGTTTCTCTCTTTGAATTGTTGTATCCTCTTGTTACTTCTAGGGCAGAGTGGTTAGATCTTTTACCTGTTTGTGGCTTTGGTTCTGGCTGAGGAGTCTCTTTCCCAGATGTAGTTCCAATGCCATCAACTGTCATAAATGAATCACAGGACCTGAAAGTCAGTCTCTGGCTGACTGAGTGATTCTGTTCTTGAGGTATGGTTTTGCTTGTAGATTCTGTAGCACCAGGAAAGGGGTGGGTTGTGCTTAGATTCTTCTTCCATGGTCCACCTGCCTTTTCAGTATGCCACCTGTGCTCACTTGAGGTTCTAGAAGAAAGATGGCTGGATGAATGTTTCATAGACATCAAACAGTCCATTTTTTTCAACAGGGGATGATTTACAGATACAGGAATTGGGTCATTATTGTTTTCAGGATAGATGTTGCAGCTCTGTTGAGAGTCAGAACCAGTTTCATGAAGGCTTTCTATGTGCTCTTCTTCCCTGATATACCCAAAATCCGAAGTGAGCTTTGGATTCAGTAAGGGAGAACGGACAGAGGCAGAACCATGATGGGAGCGAAGATATGACCAGAGGTTTCCTCCTGTGAAAAGGGAGAAAAGTAACAGCTAGAAATAGTTGGAAACACTGCAACCCCAGATCTCTGTTTAGCTTCACCTACTTTTCCCGCCAATACTAGCCACTACTATTAATCAGAATTCAGATGGCTCATTAGAATTCTTTCTTATTGAATCACAAACAAGTGGTTATCTTCCTAGACATGGGCTGCGACCTTGCTTTCTGCTATTGGCAGAGCTGTCAACATTTTTACAGAAAACAGGTCTGGAAGATGAAATCAGGAATGCCATCTATCTACCAACAAATTCTCACCTTTCACGTATTCCAAGTGGAGGAAGATGGAATCCTTACTTACAGAATAGCGCAATAATTCTGTCATAAAGGGGATTCCATGTGGGATGATGGTCTGCCTTTGCCGGGTCTCCACATGGGATTTGGGGATGCTCTGATGAAAAGGACATAGTATCAGAAAAAATAAGTTAATAATCTTCTTGAACCAAAAGAGCCCAGTAGCTTACCAGTAGGGTTAAAAGTTTGTCCTTGTTCTTACTGTTCCTTCTTCTACAAGCAAAGCTGAAAGTTGACCTTCAAAGCCACCATTCCATATAGACCACAGAATTCCTTCATAATTTTTCTAATACATTATCTCTTTTTTTAAAATAATTTTCATTAAAAGATTTTATATTTTAAAAACTTCAAAAACATAAAATAAAAAAGAAATTATAAAAGGATAAAAGAGAAAGATAATATAGATAATATAGAATAGATAACCTTTATTGTCATTTTTTTTCTGTGACCACACTGGCACACATTAAATATATATTTATATATATTTATATATATATGTAGGTCTTTGGTTATTCGGGTTTTCTCCCACGTAAAATTGAAAGTGTCTTGGTGACGTTTCGATGAAGTCCCATTCGTCATCTTCAGGCTGGTGTTTTCGGCTTCGTGCTTCACCAACCTGAAGATGACGAATGGGACTTCATCGAAACGTCACCAAGACACTTTCAATTTTACGCGGGAGAAAACCCGAATAACCAAACACCCGCGAAAACCTCAGAAAACACACACACACACACAACACACATATACACATGCTATATACGTGTGTGTATATACACACATATTAATCACTGTCAATTTTGAATACATAGCGGAAAGAGGAAACTTGAGAGTTCACAAGGTTGATACTATATGAAACAAAACTGTGATGTTCTGCTTTGGATACTATGGACCCTCCCTTCCAGAAGGTAACAAGGAAAACTGGTCATGGAAGGATGTGTAGTGTCCCTGACAATACTGCTCAAGCAGTGCTTATATGCCATGTCCTGGATAGAAGGAAATGAACTTCCAATAATCTTTTCTGCCATCCTCACCACTCTCCGCATGACCTTCCTGTCCGAAGCAGTAATGCTTCCAAACCAGACAGTAATGCAATATGACAGGTTGCTCTCGATCGTCCCTCTAGTCTATAGAAAGTGGTAAGGACAGGTGAAGGAAGATGTACTATTCTCATGCGATGCAGAAAATGCAGGCGCTGCTGTGCCAGCTTCACCAGTCTCACTGTTGAGCAACCAAGCTAACCTACTCATTAGCTACACACCCAGAAACCTGATGCTGCTGACCACCTCCAAAGTTGAATCATTAATACACAGAGGTGTATAGCTGTATGAAAGAGGTGTATGAATAATAAAAGAAAAAGAAAAAAAGAGGATACAGGTAGTCCTTGTCTTAACTATATGTTTAACTACCGTTCAAAGTTACAAGGGCACTGAAAAAAGTGGCTTATGACCATTGCAGTATCCCCACAGTCAAAATTCAGGCATTTGGCAATTGCTATGTATAAACAATGGCTGCATGTCCCAGGGTCACGTGATCATCGCATGCAAGTTTTCCAGCCCACTTTCAACAAAATTAAGGGGAAAAACTAAATTTGCTTACCAATCACGTGTTTTACTTAACAACTACATGATTTGCTTAAGAACCATATTAAAAAAGATTGTAAAATCAGATGCAACCTACTTAACAATCGCTTTGCTTAGCAACAGAAACTCTGTTCCCAATTATAGTTGTAAGTAGAGGACTACTACTTATATCTAAAAAAAGTGACTTCCAATCTTCTTTGCAGCAATTACAAACAATTACCACCTTCACTTGCCCATATTACAAATCATGGTCCTTTCTTCTTATAAACAAACCTTTTTATCTAGTCTATACTATCTCAATCCAGGGAGGTATGTTGTCTCCCTGGAGCAAAAATCAAGATCAGGCGAAGTATTAGTACCACGTTATAAAACCCTAGTAAGACCACACCTGAAATACTGCCGCCAATTTTGTTTACCATATCACAAAAAAGATGTTGAGAGTTTGGAAAAAAATTCAGAGAAGAGCAACTAAGATGATCAAAGTCCTGGAGACTAAAACGTATGAAGAACGGCTGTGGGATTTGGGTTTGGCTAGTCTAAAGAAAAGAAGAAATAGGGGAGACATGATAGTAGTATCCAGTATTTGAGGGGCTGCCACAAAGAAGAGGGGGTCACGTTATTCTCCAAAGCACCAGAGGGCAGGACAAGGAACAACGGTTGGAAACTGATCAAAGAGAGAAGCAACCTGGAATTAAGGAGAAACTTTCTGACAGTGAGGACAGTTAACCAGTGGAACAGCTTGCCTCCAGAAATCTTGGGCGCTTCATCGCTGGAGATTTTTAAGAAGAGACTAGACAATCACTTATCTGAGATGGTATAGATTCTCCTGCTTGAGCAGGGGGCTGGACTAGAAGACCTCCAATGTCCCTTCCAGCTCTACTCTATTCTATTCAATCAGCATGTAAATAAGACACAAGTACATACTTACATACAGTACATACACACCCTCTTCTATATTCTCTCTGGGATGAATCTAGCACTTAGAGGAAGTGTTCTTCACAGTTCCTGTTTCCCCCTTCAAAGCTGCTCTAGAGGGCTAAGGGAACTCTCAAGACAGCATCAGGAGAACAGAAGGTTGTAAAAGGGGGAAGAAAAACAGGAAATGCCCCTTCCTGCCCCTTTCCTCCAATTAAGCAATCCCTGATAGAGGAGCCATATATGAAATCAGCACCAATGAGTTTTAATGAACAATATTAAAGGTGGAAGATTTTACATATTCAGCTAACATCATTAATACTATTACTAAGGTTGAATATATCTGTTGACGTGACAAAAAGCCAATCTATTTATAACTTCCTTCAGTACAAGAGACGTCACCAACCTTTTCTGCATTATGCAAAATTGCTATGGGCCAATAAAAGAGGCCCACATTAGATAAAACAGGTCCAAATCCTCACCCCTTCTTCAACTAGTTCCTGCTACCATACTGACAAGGCTGGATTAAAACCAAAACCAAAAAAACCCTCCAAATCCAAACAGAAAAGAAAAGTCACGATCACATTTGAAAAGGTTTTGTATGCTCCTATTCTGCAATGGCCCCAGAAACACAGATTCAGGGGAAAATAACTCAGCGTTACTTACACAGTGGTGCCATATCTAGAACCATAAAAGAGAACAGAAAAAGGGAAAGCCACATACCTTCAGTATAAAGGTGTCCCCAGTAGCTGGATCCTGCACTATTTGCACCTATAAGCAACACAACATATATCAGCAGCATCTCAAGGTGGTCCTGCTCTTATATTAATCTGTTGGTACAGTTGGTCCTCAACTTACTACCATTCTTTTAATGGCCAAAGTTACAATGGCACTGAAAAAGGTGACTTACGACCAATTCTCACACTTATGACCATCGCAGCATTTCCCCCCCCCCCAGTCACATGATCAAACTTTGAGTGCTGGGCAAACAGCATATACTCAAGTGGTTGCAGCATCCTGGGATTATCATTTGCAACCTTCCTAGGAGCTTCTGACAAGCAAACGCAATGGGGATAAAGGCTACGTTCACTTAACAACTGTATGATTCACAACTGTAGTGATTTGCTTATTCAGGGCAAAAAAAGATTGTAAAATGGGGCGTAACACACTTAACAACCATCTTGCTTAGCAATGGAAATTTTGAAGTCAATTGGGGTTATAAGTTGAGGACTGCCTAAAATCAACTGGAGATTCTGCTCTAGAGCTAGAAACATCTGCCTTTAGACCCAAGAGCACCACTAACTACTCTTTAGATCTCATCCTCCTCTTAATTCTTTGATTCTTCAATCCAATTTCAGAATGCTCAGTCTTATTGAGCTTTTTAATGTTGGACATACAGANCCCATCCAATCAGAGCACAGCCAACCCCCCATCCAATCAGAGCACAGCCAAGCTCCTTAACCAATCAGAACACACCTCCACCCAATCAGAACACAGCCAAGCTCCCACCCAATCAGCTCAAACCCCACTGGCAGTTAAAAGGAAGAAACAGCTGCGATCGCACACTACTCCCAGAAGCACGAAGCTGAAGACACCAGCCAAGCATTGCTCCTAGAAGCACGAAGCCGAAAACACCAGCCTGAAGATGATGAATGGGACTTCATCGAAACGTTGCCAAGACACTTCCAATTTTACGCGGGAGAAAACCCGAATAACCAAAGACCTACATACAAACACCCGTGAAAACTTCAGAAAACATACACACACACACACAAACACATATACACATGCTATATACGTGTGTGTATATACACACATATTAATCACTGTTAATTTTGAATACATAGCGGAAAGAGGAAACTTGAGAGTTCACAAGGTTGATACTATATGAAACAAAACTGTGATGTTCTACTTTGGATACTATGGACCCTCCTTCCAGAAGGTAACAAGGAAAACTGATCATGGAAGGATGTGTAGAGTCCCTGACAATACTGCTCAAGCAGTGCTTATATGCCATGTCCTGGATAGAAGGAAGTGAACTTCCAATAATCTTTTCTGCCATCCTCACCACTCTCCGCATGACCTTCCTGTCCGAAGCAGTAATGCTTCCAAACCAGACAGTAATGCAATATGACAGGTTGCTCTCGATCGTCCCTCTAGTGTCTATAGAAAGTGGTAAGGACAGGTGAAGGAAGATGTACTATTCTCATGCGATGCAGAAAATGCAGGCGCTGCTGTGCCAGCTTCACCAGTCTCACTGTTGAGCAACCAAGCTAACCTACTCATTAGCTACACACCCAGAAACCTGATGCTGCTGACCACCTCCAAAGTTGAATCATTAATACACAGAGGTGTATAGCTGTATGAAAGAGGTATATGAATAATAAAAGAAAAAGAAAAAAAAGAGGATACAGGTAGTCCTTGTCTTAACTATATGTTTAACTACCGTTCAAAGTTACAAGGGCACTGAAAAAAGTGACTTATGACCATTGCAGTATCCCCACAGTCAAAATTCAGGCATTTGGCAATTGCTATGTATAAACAATGGCTGCATGTCCCAGGGTCACGTGATCATCGCATGTAAGTTTTCCAGCCCACTTTCAACAAAATTAAGGGGAAAAACTGGATTTGCTTAACAATCACGTGTTTTACTTAACAACTGCATGATTTGCTTAAGAACCATATTAAAAAAGATTGTAAAATCAGATGCAACCTACTTAACAATCGCTTTGCTTAGCAACAGAAACTCTGTTCCCAATTATAGTTGTAAGTAGAGGACTACTACTTATATCTAAAAAAAGTGACTTCCAATCTTCTTTGCAGCAATTACAAACAATTACCACCTTCACTTGCCCATATTACAAATCATGGTCCTTTCTTCTTATAAACAAACCTTTTTATCTAGTCTATACTATCTCAATCCAGGGAGGTATGTTGTCTCCCTGGAGCAAAAATCAAGATCAGGCGAAGTATTAGTACCACGTTATAAAACCCTAGTAAGACCACACACTGCCGCCAATTTTGTTTACCATATCACAAAAAAGATGTTGAGAGTTTGGAAAAAAATTCAGAGAAGAGCAACTAAGATGATCAAAGTCCTGGAGACTAAAACGTATGAAGAACGGCTGTGGGATTTGGGTTTGGCTAGTCTAAAGAAAAGAAGAAATAGGGGAGGTATGATAGCAGTATTCCAGCATTTGAGGGGCTGCCACAAAGAAGAGGGAGTCATGTTATTCACTAAAGCACCAGAGGGCAGGACAAGGAACAACGGTTGGAAACTGATCAAAGAGAGAAGCAACCTGGAATTAAGGAGAAACTTTCTGACAGTGAGGACAGTTAACCAGTGGAACAGCTTGCCTCCAGAAATCTTGGGTGCTTCATCGCTGGAGATTTTTAAGAAGAGACTAGACAATCACTTATCTGAGATGGTATAGATTCTCCTGCTTGAGCAGGGGGCTGGACTAGAAGACCTCCAATGTCCCTTCCAGCTCTACTCTATTCTATTCAATCAGCATGTAAATAAGACACAAGTACATACTTACATACAGTACATACACACCCTCTTCTATATTCTCTCTGGGATGAATCTAGCACTTAGAGGAAGTGTTCTTCACAGTTCCTGTTTCCCCCTTCAAAGCTGCTCTAGAGGGCTAAGGGAACTCTCAAGACAGCATCAGGAGAACAGAAGGTTGTAAAAGGGGGAAGAAAAACAGGAAATGTCCCTTCCTGCCCCTTTCCTCCAATTAAGCAATCCCTGATAGAGGTGCCATTTATGAAATCAGCACCAATGAGTTTTAATGAACAATATTAAAGGTGGAAGATTTTACATATTCAGCTAACATCATTAATACTATTACTAAGGTTGAATATATCTGTTGACGTGACAAAAAGCCAATCTATTTATAACTTCCTTCAGTACAAGAGACGTCACCAACCTTTTTTGCATTATGCAAAATTGCTATGGGCCAATAAAAGAGGCCCAAATTAGATAAAACAGGTCCAAATCCTCACCCCTTCCTCAACTAGTTCCTGCTACCATACTGACAAGGCTGGATTAAAAACAAAACCAAAAAAACCCCTCCAAATCCAAACAGAAAAGAAAAGGTTCAGTCACGGTCACATTTAAAAAGATTTTGTATGCTCCTATTCTGCAATGGCCCCAGAAACACAGATTCAGGGGAAAATAACTCAGCGTTACTTACACAGTGGTGCCATATCTAGAACCATAAAAGAGAACAGAAAAGGGGAAAGCCACATACCTTCAGTATAAAGGTGTCCCCAGTAGCTGGATCCTGCACTATTTGCACCTATAAGCAACACAACATATATCAGCAGCATCTCAAGGTGGTCCTGCTCTTATATTAATCTGTTGGTACAGGTGGTCCTCAACTTACTACCATTCTTTTAATGGCCAAAGTTACAATGGCACTGAAAAAGGTGACTTACGACCAATTCTCACACTTATGACCATCGCAGCATTTCCCCCCCCCCAGTCACATGATCAAACTTTGAGTGCTGGGCAAACAGCATATACTCAAGTGGTTGCAGCATCCTGGGATTATCATTTGCAACCTTCCTAGGAGCTTCTGACAAGCAAACGCAATGGGGATAAAGGCTACGTTCACTTAACAACTGTATGATTCACAACTGTAGTGATTTGCTTATTCAGGGCAAAAAAAGATTGTAAAATGGGGCGTAACACACTTAACAACCATCTTGCTTAGCAATGGAAATTCTGAAGTCAATTGGGGTTATAAGTTGAGGACTGCCTAAAATCAACTGGAGATTCTGCTCTAGAGCTAGAAACATCTGCCTTTAGACCCAAGAGCACCACTAACTACTCTTTAGATCTCATCCTCCTCTTAATTCTTTGATTCTTCAATCCAATTTCAGAATGCTCAGTCTTATTGAGCTTTTTAATGTTGGACATACAGATAATCTCTAAGGAAAATTCCTTCACTTTCCAGATGTCGAGTTTGCCATCTGTGATCAGTTGCTGATCGTTTCTTAGGCTGGAACTATCTTCATCAAAGTGAAATGCTTGCTTTAATGAGGCTCCAGTGTGAAAACACATTTGCTACAATAGGCAAATTAGTTTTTATAATTCTCTGGGACCATTCATGTCAACTTCTATCACAACCATGTTACAGCTGCTCTTTTGGAACATTTGTGTTGCCTGAAGCTAGATATCTCCAGCATAAACAGTGAGTTACCTTATCAATTATTCCCACTACTTTGCAGCGCTTGAGATTCTCCACTGGTGTGCTGAGTGTCCTTATCGGACGAAAGCGAAGACTGCTGTAACCCTACAACCAACAAGGAAACACATCTTCATTTGAAGTGGTACAAAATGGAATCAGACAATTAATAGCAATTAAACTTTATTGACCTTTCCAAGCCCAAATGTGCTTCAAATATTTTTGAATGTTCAGCCTTTCTTGAAAACTGCAACATTTACAATCCACTTCATATTACAGATCAATCATAGTGTTAAAAGCATTCTAGGACTCACATGGAAAACGCTCTGGCCATGTGGTTTTAGGTTCCATAACATCAGGATAAATTTTCCATTATCTCCTCTACCTCTGTAGTATTCCATTCCTCCACAACTGAACTGTTTATAAAGCATATAATGAAACTATATGCTATGAGTAAGGATGATACCATATTCCAAAGCAATATATTTAAAAGTGGCCCAAGAGAATGGCTTAGAAAAGGATCTACAAAAGAAATTGATTGAGGTTTTAAAATTTAAAGGGAAACTTACAAACGAAGAGACCTAGATAATTATTTCCTATTGAATTTGCAAAAGAAGCTTGTTAAAGCTTTGAAAAACTCTGTGAGATGGGACAAAGAAGAAATGAAATCAATGATATCTGAATGAATTAAAATTAAAAAATTTAAAAGTAAAAAGAAGGAACTATAAATTTGCCTTAAGGTTAAAACAAGGTATGTAGTTACTTCTGGAAATCCTTTATGGACTTTCTGCTGACACGAGAACTGAAAAGATGATATTTTATGGATTTGTTGATAGATAAGATATGGGATGAAGAAATAAATGTTTGTAACCTTAGAGGGAGTGGAGTCACTAAATTTGTTTATATTTGTTGCGATGAAATTTGGAAGTCACTTCTTTATATATTTTTCTCTTTTTTATTATATTCTTACTTTCCTTTTTCCTCTTTTTCCTTGTATTTTTTACTCCTTTCTATTCATTTTTTCTTTAAATTTAGTTAGTACTAGATTTTACTATTATAATCAAAATTCTTAACAATTATATATTTTTTTAAAAAAAATTATAGTGGTGCTTAAAAATGTGGGAAACACATTTTTAAATATTTCTGCATAAATATGACCTAAAATGTGATCTGTTCTTCACGCAAGTCCTAGAACTAGATAAAGAGAACCCAGTTAAACAACTGAGTCAAAAACATTATACTTGTTTAGTCCCAGAAATTTTGACCATTAGGAGTCTGAAAAGGCATGTCATAAGATGGCAGTGGCAAGCCACTTATATTATTGCCAAGGGAACTGCATGGATGACATGAACAGGAGTCAACCTCAACTCAAGGACTTTATAATAGTTACAGTGTGAATCACACATAAATTCAATATAGGCTGAGCACTCCTATGCAGGCTTTCCACTTGCAATCGTGGATTAAAAATAGAAAAAGTAACTGAATATAAAATTTCAGCCCCAATATTAACAACCTTTGTTTAAGGGGAAAAGTCGTATTCATGATTTCAAGTAAGAAGTTCCTGTACATTTGAGAATTCTGATAAAACAGAAATGAATTTAGGAATACAGAATGGTTTAGGGGAAATATTGTGTTGTGTTGTGATGACAAGGATACTCCCAATTACATTAAATGTTGATTGTAATTGGGAATATCTATAAAGAAAAGATTGGAGATATACAAGCAAAAAAAGAAAGAAAAAACAGTGACATTAATTATTATGGCGAGCCAGTTTGGTATAGTAATTAAGGCACCGGGCTAGAAAACAAGAGCTCATGAGTTTTCAAGGGCCACCTTAGCCATGAAAGCCAGCTGGGTCACACTGGGTCAGTCACTCTCTCTCAGCCCAACCCACCTCACAGGTTGTTGCTGTGGGGAAAAGAGGAGGAGGAAGGTGTGATGGATATATTCGCACCTTGAATTATTTATAAAAAATAATTAAGGCGCGATATAATTAAGTAAATAAAATTAAAATTAACCTCAAACAGCATATCATCTATTAAGCATAGAATTTCTGTCTGGCAACTTCCTTAGTTATGGGTTTTTTTCTAGAAATTTAAAATTTACTGAAATAACTCTGCAGTCTGTATAGAAAGAAACTTCTCTACACAACTTCAAAATTTGCATAGCCCAATACAGGTTGAGATGTCCATCAATTCTGCCTAAAACTCATTTCTCCCAGTCCTTCATGCAACTTCCTGGTTTAGAATAGAATAGAACAACAGAGTTGGAAGGGACCCTTGGAGATCTTCTAGTCCAACCCCCTGCTCAGGCAGGAAACCCTATACCATTTCAGACAAATGGTTGTCCAATCTCTTCTTCAAAACTTCCAGTGTTGGAGCATTCACAACTTCTGGAGGCAAGTTGTTCTACTGGTCAATTGTTCTATCAGGAAATTTCTTCTTAGTTCTAGGTTGCTTCTCTCTTTGATTAGTTTCCATCCGTTGCTTCTTGTCTTGCCCTCTGGTGCTTTGGAGAATAGCTTGACTCCTTCTCCTTTGTGACAAACCCTGAGATATTGGAACACTGCTATCATGTCACCTCTAGTCCTTCTTTTCATTAAACTAGACATACCCAACACAGCAACCATTCTTTATATGTTTTAGCCTCCAGTCTCCTAATCATCTAGTGGTGAAGCTGTTTAACCCACATTTTTCTATTTTATCAAGTAGTAGGTTGTGGTCTACTTTATCAAATGCCTTACTGAAATCCAAATAAATTATATCCACAGCATTCCTCTGGTCCACTAATTTTGTCATCTTGTCAAAGAATGCAGTAAGATTTGCCTGGCATTTTTTTTGACAAACTCATGTTGGCTTTTGGTTATCACTTTGTTTGCCTCTAGGTGTTCACTGATTCATTGCTTATCTTTTCCAGAATCTTCCCAGGTATTGAGGTCAAGCTGATAAGTCAGTGGTGGCGAACCTATGGCATGGGTGCCAGAGGTGGCACTCAGAGCCCTCTTTGTGGGCACATGCACCGTCGCCCCAGTCCTAGGGCTTCAGCTGGGTTTTATAAAACCTTTTCGTTTTAGGCCTCCGCCACCGTGTGCAAAAAAAAAAAAAGGTTCAATCAGTCAATTTCAACTTCTCACAGAAAAAAAAAGATCTTGCAAAGTTGGAATTGATTGATTGAACTTTTTAGTCCCACCCAGTCTGCCGTTACCACCGCAGCCATGCCCACCCAATGGGCCATGCCCACCCGGCACCTGACAATGCATAAGTGGGTTTTGGGTTGCAGTTTGGGCACTCGGTCTCTAAAAGGTTCGCCATCACTGTGATAGATCTATAGTTTCCTGGATCTATTCTTTTTTCTTTTTTGAAAATGGGAACTACATCAGCTCTTTTCCAGTCTTCTGGTAGTTCCCCAGTGCTCTAGGATCTTTGAAAGATATAGTTCAGTGGTTCTGAGATCACATCTGCCAGTTCCTTCAGAACCTTGGGGTATATTCCCTCTGGTCCTGGTGATTTGAACTCATCTAGGGTGGACAAGTGCTTACTTACCATTTCCTTGCCTATTTTAACTTGTGCTTCTAATCTGTTTTTTACGATATCGTTTTTGATAGGTTGGACTGTTTTTTCCCTTTGTGTAAAGATGGATGCAAAAAATGATTTTAGTTCTGTTTTCTTCCTGTTGCTTATCACCTTCTTGCCACTTTCTCCCAATAATGGACCAATCATTTCCTTGACTTTTTTCTTGTTTTTTTACATGTTGAAAGCAGCTTTTTTTGTTATTTTGTTAAAATACAGTATCTGCCTAAACAATCATTTTCTTTGTAAAAATTTAAAGCTATTGCTTTCTGGCACTTCTGAGTGTACCCAAAATATAGCAGAAAAGTTTTTAAGCAAAAATGAGATAACCATTTGTCTGGGAGACTATGCAAATTCTGCTTTGGGCAGAAAGTTGGAATAGAAGATCAGCAATCTAACCAGATTATTCTCTGAGGCACTGAACTGGCAAGTAATTTAAGCTAGATCCCTTCAGTTTTCAAATCAAGGTTAGCACCTTCTCATGCTAAAAGCCTTCATTCTGAAGACATGCCTGTTCTTTTCCACAACTGCTCTGCTTTAATCCTCTCTGCATCCAGAAATGTTTCAAACACTGGACTCACTAAAGCCAGGGTCCCCAACCCCAGGGCCGCGGCGTGAGCATTTTGGAACAGGGCCATGGAAGTGGATGAGCAGTGGGCGAGTGTGTGCGCGTACACTCCATTTGCCCGCCGCTCACGCAAATGGAGCTGCACACACGCATGCACACTTGCAGACTGCTTCTACGGAACCACTGGTCCACAAAGCCAGAAAGATTGGGGAACTCTGCACTAAAAGATCTACCTAGAGTCCTGCTAACACGCCACAACTCCAGTTTCTCACCGTTTCAGTAGAATTGCCATTCCCCAAATTACATTGTAGGTGGCAGTTGAAGATCTCCTCTGCCCGTTTTAGGTATTGGGTGATCTTCCTCTTCACGGCTTCACGGCGCTCTTTGTTAGGATCCACTGTCAAGAGTTATGTGCATTAATTCATGTTGAGGCCTTGTTTATTTGTTTTACTTATTTGGCTTTTGTGCCATGTTGAACTCTATGCCCCTTATATAACCTATTCCATAACCGTTGGTTGAATTGGTGGATATAGAAATTGAATAAAATAAATTATAAAAAAACAGCAACAAATTACACTTCCCCACTGAGAAGCAATCAAATCTTTAAATGGTGTAGTGGTTAAGGCGTTGGCCTAGAATAGGGGTAGGCAACCTTGTTCTTTTATGACTTGTGGACTTCAACTCCCAGAAATCCTGAGCCAGCATAGCTGGCTCAAGAATTCTGGCAGTTGAAGTCCACGAGTCATAAAAGAGCCAAGGTTGCCTATCCCTGGCCTAGAAATTAGGAGATTGTGAATTCTAGGCCTCCTTTAAGCAGCAAAGTGTGGAAAAAAGGAGGAGAGAGCATCTTATACACCTCCTTGAATTTATAAAATAAAGGTGGGATATAAATCTAATAAATAGGAAAAATAAACATAAGCTTGTTTCTTATTGTACTGCTTTTCCTCATATCTATTATTTTACTAACTAGCATTCCCCAAACTGCCATCCAGAACAATCTAGACCACTTCATGCTTTAAAGTAGCATCACATTCATCTGCCTGGATGAGTCATGTGGAACCTATCCTATAAAAGTAGATTAATCAACAGAGGAAAAATACCCTTGATAATCATATAAGCCACCAAGTACAACCCACCAAACAATCTGCTTGCTTCCAAGCTTCATCTTCTCCAGGATACTTCACAACCCCATCTTACCTTGCACCCCACTGAGCAGCACATCCACACCATTCTTGTAGTGGTTGAATGCTTCTTCATAGTCTTCACTTACATCCCGTTCCAGAGCCAGACGGATCTGCTTAGCTGCATCCACCAGGTAGTCGCGCTTCCCAGGACCATGTATGTCAATACTCCCTGGTGCAACCCGGCTTCGAATTTGTTCAAGATATACACGGGCCTGGGAGAAAGCTCGGTTACAGGACTCTGAATCCATTTCCAAAAAAATATCCTACAGATACTCTCCTTAAGAAGTAGCCATTCTCAAGAGATTGTTACCATCCACATCCTGCAATGCATGAGACAAAGGCAGAATTACCCTAAGCATCAGCCATACAGGATAGAAATGAGGAAAGATGTACCTCAATTACATCTGAAATGCCTCAATTACATCTGAAAGATATATCTATGACTGTTAACATAGGTGTTTTGCATGTTGCAACAAGTGCCACCTCAGAAGAAAGATTCCCTTTTTGTAGATTAAAAAAATAGGGGACTTTTCTTCTATAAACTCAGTGGTGCTATCAGAGCAAAATGATAGCACCACTGGTCTAAGGAAAAAGAGGGAAGAGTAATTAAATCCAGATCTAAAAGCTATTCCAACTCTGTTATTCTATCAAACTGACCTGGCAACTAAAATCTGCAGCATTTGCAAATATTACAAAGAATTATTGTAATAAGGGCCATTGTTAACCAACTTTTCAATCAATGATACTAATTTAAAAGCTACAGCTCTCCTTTAGAGAAACAAGCAGCAAGTGGCTAAGATCCAACATCTGGGATGCAACAGTAGGACCACTGGATGGGGTTGATTAAGAATCACATTATTTAAATTTGCTTGATTGAATGGACCAAAGTAGCAATAAAATTAAAATAAACAGGCAACCACTTATTATGGGCTATAAGATTGGAAAAGGAAAAACCCAAACAACCATTATGTGGCCAAAAGAAATTAAGAGAATGTTATAACTCCTTGCTGCCAGCCAGGAGTTGTTTGAATGAGCTCAGTCCAGATGTGGTAACTCTAACCATGGAAGCAAATCCAGCGGTTACTTTGGATTCCTATACCTGAGTCAGGTCGACGTAGCTGCTAACGGTTTGAGACACGTCTATGTGGAAAGGCTGATTGCTTTTCACGCTGGACGCCCCAGACAAGATGGAGGTATATAAGACCTCGGTTCCCGCAGTGCAGGCATATATGCTTTTCATGGAGAAGCTCCTCCTGGCTTGACCTATTGCAAGCATCCCAGGAGGCTTAAATAAGACGCTGCTAGGAAGAAGCATCCAGTGCTAGCATTGCAGGAAGCCCCCTAAGAATCACGGGCATAACCTTAGCAATCACGCGGTCTTGTAGGAGTTTCGCCATCGAGAGGGGGAAACGAGGAACTGACCTCGCCTAGCCCTGCCTACTCCACCCAGAGACCGAATTGCCAATGAAATTGCGCTGCAGTTACTGGAATCATCCCGGAGATGATGTAAATCCGTGACGGAGACTGGACCAGCAGGGGACAGGTGGCCACAGAAGGCGCGGGGGAGGGCAGTGGGCCTCACAGATACACGAGACTCGGCAATACCTCGAAGAGCTGATGGCCCGAGAGGCTAGTAAGAGCGGAGATGAGGCAGACGGGACCTCCCACGCCTATATCCATCTCCGCCCGGGGGAAAAGCTGCAACGACCGAGGAATCCGGTGTAGGCTGCAACTTGTACGGCTGTGGCTGTCCGCGGTGGTCTCCCATTGGTTGAGGATGAGCTCATCATCTCGCCTTTTAGAATAGAGCTCCAATCGGCGGGATTCTCCGGCGTTTGCAGAGCCGGCCTGCGGGGTCCAACGAGCTACCGGTAGTATAGGGCCATGGACGGACGGGAGGGGCTGGCCGGGAAGGGGTTCAGGATTTTCCGCTTTAGCGAAGTAAAGATGTTGGGCTTGGAGAGGACTGAGCTGCAGGAGATAGTAAAGGCAGAACAAGAGGAGCAGGGATTGGAAATTGGTGTGTCTTCTCAGAAAAGTGGTTTCGTTTCTTACTAATTATCCCCACTACGCACGCACACACACCTTTTCCGTGCAAGGCAAGCTCTGATTCTCCAAACGGTCATGTGGGATTCTGTGAAAGGAAAAAACAACTATATTCTGATAACCTACGCTCAACCTCTGCCATGTAATGTCAAAGTAAGCATCACGATTTGAAAAAAAAAAAGTATTGCCCAATTAACCATCTTGGAATTACCATCTCTAATTTTGCAACACTTCCTTCTCATTTCATGCCAAGAGTGCGGCTGCACAAATAACGTTGTTTAGAGAACTAAAAGTTTGGAGTGAGACCAGAAGCAGCTATCTTTGATCTCGTTATTCTGATTTGATTGGGGTGGCCTCTGTTTCAGGCAAAATCTGAATCTACCTTTCTGTGTTCCACCTCGAAAAAGCATCCTTGCAAACATTAGAAAGTGCACTCTCTGGGTCTCTTTTTTAAAAATAATAAATTGTGTTAAAAATTACAGTTGCTAAGATACAAACTAATTCAAAGTAAAAATAATAATAAAAAGTAGAAGATTCAAAGTAAAAAAGAAAAACAGAAAAGAAAAAATAAAATAAAATATAGAAAAAAAGAAATAAATACATTACCTTACTTCCTCCTTCATCACAAAAAGTGTAAACAATTTTAGTTACTTATCACTTTCTCTTAAAATATATGAGCTTTTCTTTTCATATCCCATCTGTTATCCATATAAACAAATGCTTAAAGCCTCATTGTTTCAGTCCTGATCAGCAAAAGCCCATTAAGGGTTACCAGAGATAACAATGTATCTAGTTAACATTGATCAAATAAACCAACTTTATATTCTTTGTTTTTACTTTTAACAATTTTGATTTTTAATTCCTTCAAATAATGTCTTGATTTCTTTTCATTTTTTCTTTGTAGCTTCTCACAACATTCTTCTTGAACACGTCTCTTTTGTAAATCCAATATAAGAAAATTATTCAGGTCAATCTCTTAGCTTGTTTTTTGTATATTTCTTTTATTTATTAAGACATCACCCGTTTTCTTTTATATGTCCAATGAAGCATCTTTTTTATATCATTCTTTATCCTATAATTTTAAAATCCACTTTCAGATCAGTCTGATTTATTGCCAGTTTAAACTTATTCCTCTTCCATGACATTTTAAACAGTCTATCAATAGAGACAACACTCTTGAAATTAAATTTTCTTTCATTCTGTATTACTAGTCAAATTTAGCTGCACTTCTCCTTTAATTGTAATCTCCAGCTCCTTGCAGTTCCTTCTAGTGACCAACTTTCAAAGTTTAATTCTAACCTTTTTTTTAAAGAATTCAAAACAAAACATTTTCCCATTAATTTAAACTTAATTCCAAAATCTAATTTCAAATTTATCTGGATCTTAGTCCATTTGTAATTTTCCAAAATCAAAGTTTTAATCACTTTTTGCTGTTTGCTGAAAAAAAAAATTAAGCCTTTAAATTGTTTAAAACTTGTTTCACTAAGGATTGAAGGAAACTCACCCAGTGCTGTAAAACCTGTTAATAAAAAGTTTCTAATAACTGAAAAGAGTTAACAAACAGTGAACCCAGTGTCCTTAAAGATGCCAACCATGAATTCAGCAAGATAGATACTCCACCCTCATCTCCCAGAGACTGCTGGATGGATATTCCACCCATTGGAGACTGCTGTTTTGCGGTCTTCTTGCAAGGAGCAATGGCCTGGAGCACTTTTGGGTGATCTTCAGTCCTCTTCTTACCCGGAGAGGAAATATGAAAAGCCACTCTGCCTGCTGTTTAATCTGCTGCAGTTCTGCTGCTAAAAACAGCCATTTTCAGTTCAACATTTCTTTCTCGGAAGTCAGAAAGAAAATTTCTTTAGAAGGACCTCATGGCTTAGCAGGAACTATTTCTATTTGAAATTGTAGTACAACTGTAATTAATAATAATACACATAAAATGTTATGTTCTAAGGATCTTCAAATGTTTTGTGCCAGAGAATACAGATTTTAAGAATATATTATCTTTACCATCTGTTTTTCACAAGGGGAACAGATGAAGATGATATCCTTCTTACCATTTAGTTTCTGAATCACTTCAGCCTTTTTCTTAGAAAGTGAGCTATTTCCAGCCAAATACTAGCCTCAGCCATCAACTCTTACTTTCTACAAATGCCTTTAGTAGTTCTCTGCAGCCTCCAGCATTCTTGGAAAAAAAGATTCATTAGCTTTATGACATTGTAGTTTCCCATTTGTTTATTTATAGTTAAAATAATATAAAGTAAAATAAGTCATGGAACTAATCAGGTACTAAATGAAGTATTTATTGGGAACATTAAAGGAAAATATTAGTAGCTCAGAGTGGAAATGAAGGGTCCTTGGTGCTCTCTGAGCTTGGTTGTTTTCTTGCAGACATTTCATTACCCAAGGTGATGGGAAAATGCTACTTAACATCATCCATGATAGTGATCAGGGCTAGTCTCTAATGATGTTACCTAGTTTGTGTAATGAAATGTCTGCAAGAAAACAACCAAGCTCAGAAAGCATCAAAGACACCTCACCCCCCCCCCCCTTATTGGTAATATTGGCACTCATAAGCATTACTTCATATTCTCTGTGTCTTTCTCAGTCATGTGTGGGAGAAAGTGCAGTTGGCTGAAGGAAAATTTGATCCTAATTATGTCTTCAATATATAGCAAACAAAAGCATTTTTCCATCACTTCCTTGTCTTTGCCAGAGTGAAAGGTGCATTCTGAACTATAGATGTCTCATATCGGGAATTTCTTGTGCAGCATTTCAAAGGTCAGCTAGACAGTATCACCTATTTATAATATAATTAGGCACGAGAATTTTAAAACCAAGGTAGGATTCCTGCCCAATGTGTGAATAACAAGGATTAGTATGAAAATCACTGGAAAGAGGGCAAAATCTGGAGGTACATGGGATGAAAAATTAATAAAACATTTCCAAATGCTGATATACAGTAGAACCATACAATTTAGAGTAGTTCAAGGTAAAAAGGAAACTCATATTGTGGATTATTTTGGGTGGCCATGGGTACAACTTTAAACCTTTTTAAAAATCTAGTAAATACTGTTAGATTCAGGTTGAACATTTCAAAAAATATCATAGGGGAAATTTCCTACCCAGAAGGAAAAAGGATGCCAACCACAGAAAGTAACAAAAAACCAAGTCTTATAGTTCCTATACTAACAACAATATCCTGTATGAAATTTCTGCATTCTTATACAGATGGTAAAGACGTTTCCTTTAGGTTTGAAGTTCTCTATCAAGCGCAAAGCTACATTCCAGTTCAAGAATCCAGACAGGTCATAGCCAATCTAAACAACTGCTGGCATCTCTAAGACTCTCTAGTCAGTGAAATTACAAGACAGAAAATAATTGCCTAAAAAGAAAAATTTGGCAACCTCTGACAAGATATATATCTGGTTATCATTATTGCAATAAAAAAGCATTCCAAGAGTCATAGTGCCTTTATTATTACAAGTTTCCTTGTCTATCACACTCACATTGCAAAGGAACAGCTTTGAATCATTTGCCCCAAGTCACATAGGAAGCATGCAGACCAAAATATTGGATTGTGTCTTTATCTCTGGTAAATCATTCAGCAATTCAGAAGGATCACAACTGGAATTTATCTCTCATACATCCGGAGAAGACAAGTTCTTGGAGTGCTTTTTCAGACAAGGGACTAGGGTGATCCCTAATTCTATTTTATTTAGAATAATTTATTTGGAAAGTTGTTGCACTGCATTGACTGAAAAAGCAGGAACTCATGCACTACTTTACTACATAAAAGAAGAGCTTTCAATCCAGGGGAACAAGAATATATTGCCATTAAGTTACTATAGGAAGCAATATACTTCATTGGGTTAAACTGATGGTCTGTTTAGTTCTGTTTCCTTTCATGGATGTTGTCGGATATAACAGTTCAAAAATGTAGAGACTTAGGAAAATTCCACCTTGTTTTCATATGAATCAGTAACAGCTGTAGATACAGGAATAATCAAGACACAATGATGCTTGCTTGTTCTTTCTTGACCAACAGTTACTATGTCCCATTCACCTATTTCAGCTTGAGTTCACTCACACTGCAAACAGACACACAAACAAACACAAACACACACACACCCAACATCTCATAGCAAATTACTGTAAGAGTTGCATGCAAAAGGTATGCCATTACACTTTTTATAAACTTCTTATATTTCAATTTCCCATCATTCTAGTTCTTAACTTACATGTCACAATTCTCTTTCAGGTTTTTTCAAACCTCAGGAAATTTATATACTGTAAGATGGGCATAATACCTGTCTTTATGGTTATCTGTTCTTTTTGTTATCTGTGCTTTTTGGATAGCCACAGTCTCTAAAAATAAGTTTTCCATAAATTGATCACAGAAGCTAATTTAAAATCTAGCAGTGATCTTTCACACTTTCTTGCAGTTATTAAGGCTAGTATTTTTTATTAGATATGCACTTAGATCTCAGGATAAAACAAGACCTAATTCTGTGTTCAGTTCCACTAGCTCACCTGAACTTACTTTTCTTTTATGACTGATTGTGAACCTACACTATTGTACAATGAGATGGACAGGCAGAAATACCTGCTTAAATCAGCTATGGGGTTGTCTAGAATGTGGCTGACCAGAGAATTTACCTACTTTGGTGAACTTTTTTTTTTTAACAACCATCCTCCCCTCCCCAAACCAGCTATACGAGTAGACCTTGACTTACAACTGTTTAGCTCAAACTTTTCTTCCCTTTCATTTCTCAATTCCCAACTGAGAGATAATATCCAGACATTTCAGGTGGAAGTATTCACATTTGTCTTAATAGTTTAAGTTCCCCAAACTCCAAATATTTAAAACATAAAACAGCTGCTGTTTTCTTGTATTTCTGTTTACTCTCAATTCTGCAGAAATCAGAGTGAAATATTAGCTCTATGTAGGCAGGGAATGGACTGAAATAAACAGGGTCTTCGCTTGGTCCTGGGGCAGTCTTCTGATGCAATTATTTAAAAAACCGTCTCCTCCATATTCTCACTGGGATGTTGTCTTTACTCCTCCCTTTTTGCTCTGGCACTTCAAGTGAGCAAGCTGCTATCAGCCCCCCTGAATTCATCAGTCAAGATTGTAATTGCAGAAGAATGTTGAAGAGGACTTAGCAATTAAATAGAGGCATTGCGGCACTGCCCTTGGCTGAGAAAGCAACAACTCTCATCAAACGGCACACCTAGAGAGAAAGTACAGAAGATACTCAGCACCAAATAAACACCCAAAGATGTTAACATGGAAAATGGACAGCTAAAATTACATTTCCTACTCTACGTGCAAACTCTGGTTTCTGCTCTGCTGTAATAAATGCATTATAAGATCAGGTAGATTTATGCTATTGACTACATTAAAAATCTAAAATGAATACCCAGATACAGAAAATAAAATTACATTCCACTGTGTGTGTAAAGCCTCCATGAATTTCTCCTATTGCCTGAATTCTTCTTTAAGCTCTAAACATTAGTTTATTACTAATAAACTAATAAGTAAACTTGTAAGGAATACATTTAGGCTCAATCTTAAAATATTGTAGTCCAATGCTATTATGTTAACAATCTCAAAACAGCATTACTTTTCCCCTTCAAAAGAAGAACAAGACAAAACTATTAGCCATAGGATATGGCAATCACAGGTAGTCCTTGACTTACGACCACAATTGGGACCAGAAACTTGGTCATTGAACAACATGGTTGTTAAGTAAATAGCCCACATGACTGTTCCACTCAATGACCACAATCCTGGCTCTTCCAGTTGTGATTATTAACAATCATTTGAATTGTTACGCAGATGGAATGAAAGAACTACCTGCCGAAGGAAGGGAACTCCCGGGATGTAGAAATGGAGTCCAGATCTTTGAATCCAAGCTTTGTTTCTCCAACCCAGTGAAGGATTTCTCCTCCCATCTGTGCATGGAAAGGAACTCCTGCACTGGGCTGGAGAAGCAAAGCTCAGATCCTAAAGATTCAAGGTTCACTTCTGCAGCCCTCCGCATGAGTTCTCCTCTCCATGGAAGAAGATTTCTATGCTGGGCTGGAGAAACAAAGTTTGGATCTTTGGAATCTGAGCTTTGTTTCTCCAGCCAAGCACAGATCCGAGCTCTGTTCCTGCCTTTTGCTACAGGCAGAAACTGAAGATCCAAGTTTCAATTCTCCAACCTAGCATTGGAATTCCCCCTTCCCTCTGTGTATACAGCAGTGGTTCTCAACCTTTTTAATGCCGCGACCCCAACCGGTTGTAAGTCGAGGACTAAACCGGTCGTAAGTCGAGGACTAAACCGGTCGTAAGTCGAGGACTAAACCGGTCGTAAGTTGAGGACTACCCAACTGGTCGTAAGTCGAGGACTTTCCCTGCCCGGGAGCGCCGCGCATGCGTGGTTCCGCCCCCTGCACTGGCCGAGGCGTAGCTGGCAAGCGGCAGAGACGGAGCAGGCCGACCACCAGCTGGCCCAGCCCAAGGGAAGTAAGGCACCCGCCGGAAAAGGGAAAAAAAATGGACAAAAAAAATGGCGGACTGCCTTGCTTGGCGACCCCCGTGAAATGGTCGATCGACCCCAAATGGGGTCCCGACCCACAGGTTGAGAACCACTGGTATACAGGGACATTCATTGGTTCTGCACCTTCCTTAAAAGTAATTGTCTTTAAATCAGACTATTCTCTTTTTTTATTTGGTTGCAGGTGTTATTATACAACATTTGTTTAGCACCACTTTTATGCTCACACATTCATTGGCTGCTATGGACCTAAACTAAACAGGCACTCATTCCGATCATTTGACAGAAGTATTATCTATGTAGCCATAAAAAAAAAGAGCACAGAGCACAGAGAAGAGCAAAGAAAAGCTATGGCTGTCTAGTAAGACTGTACCATCAGAGAACGGAGAAATGGGTGCAGATGAATCCACACTGATCAATGCTTATTTATAAAGTAAGATGAGATTTCCAGACTCCCCCCACTGGCTTTGCATGGTCCAGAAGCCAAATTACCGGTAGGTACTGATGGAAGGAAAGATAGACTCCGCTTATGACTCACACACCATAGTATTCTTTTCCTTCTCCCTGCTGTTGATACTCACATAGAGATCAATTTTTGGGTCTCTGCTTTGCCCGCTTCTTCTTGCTGCGTCCCTTGAGTCTCCTCCTCCTTTTGGAGGAAAGGTGGGGAAAAGAGTGGGTGGGAGATAAGACATTGCAGAGAGTCCCAGCCTCCAGAATCTTTAGTAATGCCACTTACCTCCCTGACTTCAGAGCATCTTGTCGGGGCCTGGGGGGGAACAGAATTAGTCACTTTTAGCATATGGTGGTATCTGCCATCTGCATACAGAGCACTTAGAACAGTGTTTCTCAACCTTGACAATTTTAAGGCATGTGGACTTCAACTCCCAGAATTCCACAGCCAGCAATGCTGGCTGTGGAATTCTGGGAGTTGAAGTCCACATGCCTTAAAATTGTCAAGGTTGAGAAACACTGACTTAGAAGATGTGGAGCTACAAACCCAGTCAAGAGAAAGGGCAGATTCCCTAAAAGAGTGTCCCACAGCCTGTGCTCCTTAAATATAGCTCATTCTACACTGCCTTTACCATCATGCTGGCTGTGTGCCAGATGATTTAGAAATTTCCAGCGACTTTGATGAGGGCAACAGTGGGCAGGAAGGCTGAAATCTAGAGCAGAAATGGGAAAGCTTTTGACATTTTCTAAGAAGACCAGAACTACAATAGGCACCACATCACTCAAGAAGGCAGGGTCTGGATTTTCTGATTTTTACTGGGGTTCTGCTTTACCAACTTCTGTTCAACCTCCTTAGGACTTGTCTTGCAATGAAAAAAAGAGAAAACCCTGTTTATTTTCAACAAGAGTAATTAGAGAAGGCTCTGAGGGACGCCCCCCTCCAAAAGCCTCAAGTATAACAAGGCTTTGTTTGTTCAGCCCCGCTTTAGAGTAATAAATGAAGTGTGAGATGACATGTCTGGAATCGGATATGTTAGTTTTACAATGGGTCTTCCAGGAATCCCAACAAACGCCTAATAATGCACCTCTGCAAAGAATTGGCTTACATAGGGAGATTATATCTTCATAAGAAATTGGGAGCTGGGGGGGGCGGGGAGGATTTTAGGAAAAAAACCTGAACATTTCAAAAAGAAACATTTTGTTAAAAAGGCAAAGAAGGCACATAGTATGACCATTAGTACCTAAGAAAAATTAATAGTGCATATTAGTACCCAAATTTTGCCAGGAGCTCTTTCATTCTGGGTACTTCTAGAGCGGTGTTTCTCAACTTTGATAATTTTAAGATGTGTGAACTTCAACTCCTAATAGCTGGCTGAGGAATTCTGGGAGCTGAAATCCACACATCTTAAATTTGCAAGTTGAGAAACACTGTTCTAGAGGTTTGATCAACTTGATGCATAATTATCTTTGAATGCCAGAACACGAGAGGGACACAGGCTGTTACTTCCTTCTTTTAGTGAAGATGAGGTATCTATAAAGGTCCCAAATGTCATGGAAAACAGCTGAATTAGAACAGCTGCTACCTCTGCCATATTTCATCACATGGTGTCCAGCTTATTAAGCAACAAGCATGCAGGACTGTCCACATGCTGATCTTCTACTGGAACACATAAAATATACAGAATGTAGCACTTGGTAATGAATTCAGGTTCCTAATAATTTTGCCTTAATTCTTTTTTAGTTTGTTTTTAAAAAACACATTCCTAAACTCTTTAGCAGAATTATGAAAAAACTTTTTATCCAATTCAGATTAATTCTGTTTGCATGCTAAATTCTAATGACTTTAAGGAATGGCAAAGTAAGAGGTTTAATGATTCTGCCAGGCTCAATTCCAATGAAATCAACAAAATCTTCTCTCTGAAAAATCATATAAAGGCCAACTGAGACTTGCATATTTGGGCTCATTAAGCAAAGATAGAAATATCTATAAGTGAACACTTTGATCTGTCAGAAACCCTAATTTAATCTTACAACTGCTGATTTGGATGTGGGAAAAACAAAATTAGGTTTTGAAGAACCCAATGAAAATATATTCCTTTTAATCAGAGGATAAAATATGGTGGGGATTGGTAAATATTATTATCATGATGTCAGTCAAAAACAGTACCCCAATTAGAGTAACTGTGAGCCGAATTTATTTCAGAACACTGATATGTATCTGGGTGATCTGTTATAAACCTGAAGTCAGGTTTTGTGACTCTAAATTAATTAACATTAACAATGCAAAAGTTTCTTTTTCTCTCTCTCTTACACCATTATTATGGGAAAAGCACTCCAATGGAAAACCTGATATTTGTATGAATGGATAGATAAGCTTGATACTGGTGCTAATCACAAAACCATATACGTATTTTTAAATTTATAGCACAGTTGCTGGAACTGTGTTCCAATAAAAACTTGAACCTGTGAAATAAAGTCTGCCATTCCCTAATGCATCTCATGTGCATTCATGTGCATAATTTCATGTGACATTAACAGAAAGTCTGAAGTACCAGTTTCTGAAATATAATAGCAAAGACCTATGGAGCAGATTCTCAAGGAGATGGATTGGTGGGGTTTATTAAAAGCCTGTTTTCCCTTATTCCCTAATTTGGACACTGTGAAGCACCAGGTGCACTTACCAAATGCCACAGCAAAGTTGCTCACCTGCATTCACATTTCCTGTGTTCAGTAAATGACAACTCCACGAAGGGTAACTGATTCTCTGGGTTGATCTTCTTGAGCTGAAAAGGTAAAATCTAAGTAATTTGTTGAGCATTTTTATCTCTTTTCACTTCTCCTATTTGGCCAAAGAGCAGTTTTTAAGTATGACTCTATTCCTCAGAGCCATAGATTAACAAAGAACAATGGATTTTTCTTTCACATTAAAGGGAAGGTTTCTTGGCAAACTGTATCTATGGGCCAGACAAGACAACATGTTAAAACAATTTATGCATGTAAACAGTGGTCTGCTGAGAAATATTTAATAACTGGCTCCATTGGCACCACTGCTACCATTCCACCACAGAACAGCTGATTGGCGCACAAGGCATCAAGGCTCAGCTCTGCTCTCATCCCATAAAATTCCAGAAAATTTAAAAATCAGCTCTCACAAGCCAGTGAGAGCTGTCTCCAACACACCACTGCATATACTCCATTACATATGGAGCCACGTAACGTATCTTGAGTTTTATTTTTAAAAATAACCCAGGGGGAACAACAATAAGCAGAATATGGGCAATGTTGGGAGAGTTATTTTTAATTTTTTATCACTGCATCAGACTTCCAGAGAAAATGACATCTCTGAAGTTGCTGTTTCCCAATGGGGCAAATAATTATTTAGCTAAACAGTTGATATTGCCTTCTAGGCAAGTAGCAAATTCGGGAAAAGAACTCACCACATCTCCACACCTTCTACTGGCAGTCCTTGCTCACCGACTGCCTTGTTATTAACTATTCAAAGTTACAATGATTGGGAAAAAATCACTACCAATCCTTGCATTTATGTCTGTTGCAGTGTCCTGTGGTCATGTGATTGCTGCTTTGTGCTTTGTGACTTGCATGCATTTACAACCGTCGCACCACCCCATGATCACATGATCCTCATTTGCCAGCTTTACAACTGGCTTCCAACAAGCAGAATTAATGCAGAACACAGATGTCAAATCATAAGCCATGGTCATATGATCTCTCACTTAAGGATTGTTTCTCTTAATGAGAGAGTTGCTGGTCCCAATTGTAGTTGGTAAGTAAATATTGTCCCAATTTTATATAAACAGATACACACATCCTTAAAGTAAAAAGAATACTATACAAATTCATATATAAATGTGACATCCAGTCTGGTTCTAAGGCAATTCCTTCATCTGACTCTATGGCAGAACTGCTTTTGTTTCTCTTAGACAACATTTCTTAATGTCAGCAATCTTAAGATGTGTGGACTTCATCTCCCAGAATTCCTCAGGCAGCATACTAGCTGAGGTATTCTGGGAATTGAAGTGTACCATCTTACTGTCCTACACAATGGAGTTGTAGGGTTTTGAAAAGATGGGAAAATAATATACATTTTTAACAGCTCCAGATGTTCATTCAAAAGCTATGGGAACCTCACCACAGAACATTAGCTTCTTACCAGCAAACTCTGAATTGCATTTACATGAAACAAACAAGCATTGGCAGCTAACTGCAGAGAAGATGAGGAAGTGATCCTGTGCTCCAGGATAAGTAGAACTATAGTGTTCTCACCTACCTCCATAGTGATATTGGCCATTTCCACTGGAACACATTGCAGTGCCTCATCTCTACAACATCCACAGCAGCGACGCAGGGAAACACAGGAAGGTTTGAACACATGCTCCACTTCATGTGGGTATTCTGATACAACACTGACCAGTTTTTCCAAGGGCTGGCAGGAGCTGCGATTCCAAACATCAAAAAAGGATACCACTACAAAAGAAATTAAGTATAAAAGTAAAGTATTTAGTTGCCAATTCTTGCATATATCCAATGCAGGAAATACAAGTACATTGTGTCTCTCACTTGTATATTTGTCAGACTGCACTAGAATATTGTGTCCAGTTCTGGGTACATTTTAGGAAAGATTTTGACAAGCTGGAATGTCTCCAGAGGACAGCAACCAAAAAGACAGAGGATCTGGAAGGAAAAATCGTTGAAGAACATTTGGAGGTGGTGTGTAGGTGTAGGCTGGAGAAAAGACTGTGGGGAGACTTGATAGCTGCTTCAAATATGTAAAGGACTGTGTAGAAGATGGGACAGAATTTTTCAGAATTGTTCCAAAGAAGAGGACAAAAATAATGGGCTTAAATTACATGGGTGTGAGTTTTAGTCCAACATCTGGAAAAACATTTAGTTGGCAAGAGCTGTACAAGACTTTGGAGATGGTAGAGTCTCAGTTGCTGAAAAGCTTTAAACAGAGGCTGGAAATACTATAGCAATAGATTCCTGCACTATGCAGGAAATTAAACAAGATATTCTCCAACATCCCTTACATTTTATGACTCTATGACATTGCCTTGCCTCTGTTTCAGTACCATTTCCCTCAAGGTTAGCAACACATCATTCATGAGTATTAGGGATCCAGTGTCCCTTAAAAACGATGCCTATAACCTCACAGGTTAAATTGCAATCATTTTAAGAGTCCAATCAAAATTCCTCCCAAAAAGGAGGAAATATTGAAAAAGTTCCAAGTTTTTATGAGATCTCATTCCCTGACCTCACCCAACACACTTTTTTTTGAAGCGCAAGAATCATTACTCATTGCACAATGATGTCTGCCAGGTAAAAAAAATAAATGCTGGATTTGCATCTATTGATGCAAATTCTTTAAGATGTTGAACAAAGGTCTTTTCCATTAATCCTTTGAACCTTAATTATTTAACTGTAAATTGTGGATAAAACAAGATCAGTTATATTAAAAGTAACAGTAAACTAATTCTTTGCAGTTAGCAAGACTAAAAAATATACAAGCAATATTTGCTGGGAAAGTGAAAATTATGGAACTGTGGAAAATGGAGGAAAATCTTGGACTTTGTTCCTATTGCTTTTCCCCAAAGAAAATACTAGTTGAACCATAGCATTTTTCATTCTTTATTAAATCAATTTCTACAGATTACAACTATTTCAGACCTTATGATCTAAGTAAACAAAGTAGTAATTGAAAAAGGAAAAGGAAAAACTTGGAGAGGAAGTTGTAGACTGGGTCAAGGGATTCTCAAAAAAGGTGAGGGTTTTTAAAAGAAATCCAAAGGGTAGCATCAGAACACATAAACAGCCTCCAAGACTCTTCCCATTACTGTATAGATTACACAGACAAACATATATAGTCCAAATTCACACTATAAGAGAAGGTCATGCTTCACATGTTTCATACTCACCTGCTCTATCAGTAGTGCTGTTCTGAAGAACCACGTCTTTCTTCTGGGAATAGAGGGGAAAAAGGGGGGAAAGGTAATTTTTCCAATACATTCCAGACACAGAAAGGTAGAAAGGTTGACATAACATGCCCCATAACCCTTCTCCAAGGTATTTGGGAACTGTAACAACCAGACTTTTTCAGTACAAATGATTTACAGCTGAGAATCCTGGGAATAGCAAACTTAATTCATCTCAGTGTCTACAAAACTGAATTCAGAGATATGTGACAGTCTTCTTATTTCATTAAATAAATTATAACACAAGGGAAGTGTCCATTAATAATCTCAGGGTTTGCTAAAGTTCAAACATTTATTCATCCATTAACCTCAAAAGAAGTCTACCTATGGTTTGGTAAAAAATCTAAAAGTAAAGAAAATGCCTTCCCAAGTTCTGCCAAGCTTATTCCAGCAGAAAAGAAGGATAGGAAAAATGATCCTTGTCATACTCTTCTCACTTACTTTTATGTTTTCCCTCTTGGGAAGGAATTCATCATAGTAGCAAATGTTTCTCTGAATACTGGGAATGGGTCTAGAAAACACTATCGAATCATCCCACAGTTGGAGTCCCAACATATCCATGAAAAATTGCTTTTTAACATGTTATCAATATCTGAGAAAAAGGGTCCTAGACATTCGTCTCCAAGAAGGTTTCTAAGACTGTAGGTCCCACTCTCAAATCAGCTCTTTCCACCTTCAGAATGGAAGATTTAAAATAATCTATGGATTTATTGGATGTCTTTTCAGGGTTAGTTAAAATATGTGTAACGGCTACCCCCGAAAGGGCTGCTGGAGTCCGGATTCTCCTGGCCCTCTTGGTATGGCGGTCCCTCACTCAGGCATCTCTGATTGTCTGAGTCACATGGGGAAGTGGTGATCAGTTCCTTCCAGCAGGCGGGTCATGTGATGGGGTGGTGGTCAGCCTCTCTCAGGCTGTTCCACACAAACCTGTCCTATTCCTATCCCTCTCCCCCAGGCTTGCCCCACAGAAGCCTCATCTATCCCATCCCCTTTCTTCTCTCAGGCTGCCCCACAGAAACAAGTCCTATCCTATCCCCTTCTCTCCCTCAGGCTTGCCCCATAAAAGCCTCTCCCCTTCTATCCCTCAGGCTTAGCCCACAGAAGCCTCTCCCCTTCTATCCCCTTCTCTCCCTCAGGCTGGGGCAAGCCTGAGGGAGAGAAGGAGATAGAAGGGGAAAGGCTTCTGTGGAGTAAGCCTGAGGGAGAGAAGGGGATAGAAGGGAAGAGGCTTTTATGGGGTAAGCCTATCCCTTTCTCTCTCCCAGGCTTACCCCACAGAAGACTCTCCCATTCCTCTCTATCGCCTTCCCCCTCGCTGGCCTTGGTTTTTTTTTCTCTGCCCTCCTCAGCTGGTGCTCATGCCCCCCCCCCAACCTAGGCCTCAGCAGAGTCCCAACTCCTCTCTTCCCTCTCACTGACTGCTCCTCCCAGGCATCTCCTGGCACTGCCTCTTCAGCTCACCCCACCCCTGCTACATATGAATGGGGAGATGGTAGCAAAAGTCACCAGGCCAGATGGCCCTGAATTATTTATTTATTTTTATTTATTTTGGAAAAAATATATAGCCACCTACTCATTCACGCCAACTCTAGATGTCTTACAGAAAATAAAACACAATATAGAAACAAATAAAAATAATTAAAAATAATCAAATAATAACTGCCCTCTCCCCTCTTGGCAACAATACACACTCATATCAGTCATTTAATGGGCTCCATCCCACTCTGGGTTCCCCAGGCCCTCTGGCAAAACCACGTTTTCAAGACCTTTTGAAAGAGTGTCAGAGTGGGGGCCAATCTAATTTCTGGAGGGATGATGTTCCAGAGGAAGGAAGCCACCATGGAGAAGGCCCTTCTTCTGGGCTCTGCCAGATGTACCTCCTTAGGGGATGGGACCGCAACATTCCTTGCCTCCCCATTCTAGTGAGTTGGGTAGATGTGACCAGCAAGAGACGGTCCCTCACATAACCCGGTCCCAAGCCACGAAGAGCTTTAAAGGTGACAACCAGCACCTTGAATTGCATATGGAAGCAAATCGGCAACCAATGCAGCTCCCACAGGAGAGGTGACACATGTGCACACCAAGGTATGCACAAAACCAGGTAGGCCACTACACTCTGAACCAAATGGAGCTTCCGGATGGTTTTTAAGGGCAGCCCCATGTAGAGCGTGTTGCAATAGTCAAGACGTAGGGCAGAACTCTACTTATGTTTCTAATCTGATGGAATATTCTAAAACTATTTACTGTCTCAAATGTGATGAAGGATGTTGTTCCCTTGCCAGCATAGAAATAACTTTTAACTACTAGTCAAATTAGTTTCTATGTATGCAGTTGTCCTTCGTGAGAAACAGCAAAATGTCTTGAGTTAGCTCTGGCATACACATACATAGAATAAGAGAAAATCACTACTCAATCAGATATATAGAAGAAAACTTTTAGATTCAGCATGTCATTTTTAATAGTTATCGTGCTATGATTCATTTGATGATGTTATCTGTCTCCTTGCAGTTACCAACTTTGTGCTAGAAACACTAGGTGTCAGTCTAACACAGTTTCCCAAGAGTGGAAGAAGATTTGAAGAGTCCTTAATGATCAAATGGAATGGAAGAAAGGAAGACAAAGGGACAAAATAGAATTAAATCCTAGAGATGCAGCTTGGTAGTCCTAAGATTAAGTATGAAAATAGCAATATGAAAAGAGTACGGTAAAAGAAAAACATACTTTGGATTAGCCTCTACATACAGAAAGATTATTTTTCCCCAAATTTTGTTCAGTCAGTTGATGAATTTGATTGTTAGAATTTTGAACTCATATTAATTCATAACAATGGTCAATAAGAAATGCTTACATAAGCACAAATACAGCTGTATATAGTTGAAATTTAATAATTTGATTCCCTGCCCTGCATAAAAATGAAAAATGATCAGTCATTTACACCAAATAACAAAGATTGACAGCAATAATCCATTATCTGTTTTATATATACATTATATTGTTTTAGTCAGAGAATAAATCTGTAGATTGTTTGTATATGTTAAGTAGCACTCTGGATGGGCTAGCCATCCAATATTACTGCATTTAAAAGCTTTTTCAGTCAACTGAAGTTTGACCCAATGCATGATTGTAATGAGCTACTAAAATCTAAGGCACTCTCCTACTAGCTAATACCAGATACTACTTTTAGAACATGGGCTGAATTTAATTCAGACCTGCCTCAGAAACTAATGGATTTTTTCGCAATCTGATGCTGTCCAAATGCGTTAGATTACAATCTCCATGTTCTCAGTCTCTGTGACCAGGCCGGCTGGAATGTTGGAAGCCATAGTCTAACACAGGGGTGTCCAAACTTTTTTCAAAGAGGGCCAGATTGGATGAAGTGAACGTGCTGGAGGGCCGAACATTTTTCCGAACATTCTTTGAACCATTACAATTAAATGCAAATGAATTATTTTATGCCTCTTTCCTCTCCCTCTCTTTCCTCTTTCTCTCTCTCTCTTTCCTTTCCCTTTCCTCTCCCCTCTCTCTTTCTC